AAAAAAAGAAAGAAAGAAAGAAAGAAAGAAAAAAAAAAGAAAGGACTGTCTCCTGCCTACACTCCGCTTTAGCCGAGTGATTTTCCCAGTGTCTCTTCAGAGACAAAGAACAGAAGGCAAAAAGCACTTGTACACCGAAAACTGGTAAAGCTAAACATCAAGAGCGCATAGCATACTATTAATACTATTAGAGTCCAATAGCCCTTTCTCCCTCAATTGCCTCTTGCCACCAAGTTGGTCATCATCAAGCATTTTGTGCATTTTCTTGGCCAGTGGTCTTGCTAAAGGTTAATCTGTTTGCTCACTTCGCTGTCTTATCAGGATGGAATCTTCCGTCTGGAAACTGGGTACAGCGGCGAAGCCTCAATTCCGGTGGTTCTCTTACCACCACTGGAATAGAGGCCTTGCAAAAGGGTTTTTCAAAAAAAAAAAAAAAAGAAGGAAAAAAAGATGGGATCCTCCGTGCTCTGAACGCACAAAATGTTTGGACGTTAGTTTGTACTTCTTTTACTTCAGACTTTCCATCCATTTTGGTTTTATTTTGTTTAAAAAAAAGGGCAACGGCCTTGAAGTTGAGATATATCATCATTGAGCTGACCGGCCCAACTGTAGGTAATCCAGAACACCGTTATTTTGTTCATCTGACTGCATCTGCATCTGGATTCGAACTTGGGTCTGATTCATACTCTGACAATTCATGGGCGAGTTCGGCCCCCTGGCGACTTTTCCATTTTGCAAGCAGTTTGTACTTACCTTTCATTCTTCGTATAGGTGTCTCATTAATTCAAAATGTAATGTACTGCTTTCCATTTTGGGCAACACAATTTCGCTCAACGCGGTTTTTTTATCATAGAGGTGTGTCATTGCTTCTTTTCTGAAATTAGCATTGAGAACGCAATAACCCACGCATACTCATCACAACTCCATTCCAGAGTGATTGCCTTCTCTCTCAGAGTCCCCCCCCACCTCCCTCCCCTGCCTCGTTGTGCTCTTCTACCTCCTCCTCCTCCTCCTCCTCCCCCTCCTCTTCCAACAACCTCCTACCCCTCTTTCCTGCCATCCTCCCCCTTCTCCAACCCCCCTCCTCCTCCTCATTCCTCTGTGTAATCCTACTAAGCTTCCCTCCAAACCGTGCGTGCAAGATTTCCAAGCACACGGCTCACTCCTCGCTCATCCTCATTTTCTTCTTCTTCTTCTCTTCCTCTTTTTCTTCTTCTTCTTCTTCTTCTTCTCTTCCTCTTTTTCTTCTTCTTCTTCTTCTTCTTCTTCTGCTGCTGCTGCTGCTCCTCAGAGTCCCCCCCACCTCCCTCCCCTGCCTTTACCGTGCGTGCAAGATTTCCAAGCACCGGGTCGGCAGCAACAGCCTCTACGTTATCATCATCGTCATCATCATCATCATCATCATCGCCATCGTCGTCATCATCATCATCATCATCATCGCCATCATCATCACCGTTGCTTTTCCTCATCTTGTTCTTTGAGGTAGAGGCATGAATCATGTTTATCTGCAGTTTGTTTTTGTGGCAGGATCATGGCTCCATATTCATATGTAGCAGACATGAGGCTGGCCATGGTGCGCTCTCCTCTGGCCATGGTAATACTAAATCGTCAACTCGACAGAGTCGACACCCTCTTGACATTACCGGGACAACCGTCTTTCGCAGAACACAATGCACCTTTGATCATGACTGCATATAAGCTACCTTTCCAGTCCGATACAGTATTGTGAGGGCGCATCGTGTTCAGGGGGAAGATGGGGCATTCTTTTCACAGGACGGTTTCGAGCAAATGTAGTCCATTGCTGCGGGCAAATACATCGGCAAAAGATCATCACGGCGTTGAATCTGCCCAAGGTAGATCGGCCTTGACGAGCTGTGGTTAGGATTTATGCAAAAGCTGATCAGGCGGAAACCAGATAGCAGGTCGGTTACACACGAGTCTGATTTTCCAAGATAATATTTTTTCGTTAGTCGCTTTCTTCTCTCTCTCTCTCTCTCTCTCTCTCTCTCTCTCTCTCTCTCTCCCGACCGACATCAAGGACAACTCCTCTTGGCTCTGCATCAATGAACATTGAATTCACTTTTTTTATTTATTTTTTCTTTTCTTTTGCATTTATTAACATTTTATTTATTGATTCATATTGAACTATTTTCAAGTTTTTTCTTATAAATGGACTTCACAGTTTTCCGGTCCTGAAAAACTCATGACGAGGTATTGATTGCTGATTTAAAAAAAAAACAAAAAAAAAAAAGGGACAAATTGCTCCAATGTATTTGTGGAGAGCAGCACGTGCTGGGAACCGGGCCCAGCGTCCCATTCGAAACAAATCTTGATTGCTGATTTCAATGTAGCCACATTGTGATTTTGAGTTAAAAAAAAAAAAAAAAAAAAAAAAAAAAAAAAAAAAAAAAAAAA